CATGCATTTAGTTTGGTTTCTCTTGTGATAAAATTCTGATCAAAGCCAACTTGCAGAGGGCTTAGTCATGGAGGGAAGCCATGAGAGAAACTGAAGGTAGGACTTGAAGTAGAGCCCATGAAAGAACACTGTTTCCAGCCTCTTATCATGGCTTGCTCAAATTTCTTTTCATATGACCCAGGACCACCTACGCAGGGGTGGTATGATTCACTGTGGGCTGAACCGTCCTATATCAACCATCAAGAATTTGCCCCACAGACTGGCTAGTCCACAAGCCTGAAGGACACATTTTCTTAACTGACATTCTGTCTTCTGAGGTGATCCTAGCTTGTGTCAATATGGCAAATGACTAACCAGCATATTCCAAATTCCACAAGATGAACAAAGTCTTTACGGAGGCCAATTAAGCCTTTTGAGGCAGACATGTGTCTCTTAGCTAGTGTTTGGCATATGAATAGATTTTGAGAAAGCCCAGGTTGGGGCTAGTGAGATAGCTCAGTGGCTAAAGGAGTTTGCTGCCAAGCCTGATGACCTAAGTATGCTTCCCCAGGGCGAACATACTCACAGGTAGGAGAGACCCGACTCTATCTAAACTGCTCTCTGACCTTCATATGCACATGCCCTCATGCACGTGTGCACACAATATAAATAAGCGAATGTAGAGAGGGGATCGCCCGAGAGAAAGCCCAGTTACCTTACTACTGGTGGGCCTTCGAAAACATAGCATATCATCCCTTCCCTCTTACATAATGATGGTTGGTCCTTCTTTCTCTCTGCAACATAAGATAAGCTTTTGTTGGCAAGTCTTACTAAATTGCATTTGAGCCACGCAGTGGTGTAACATGAAAAATAAATGACCCAGAGACTGATATGGGGTTCAAACTAAAAGCTGAAGAACAGAAAAGCAAATAGCGGGCCACTAACTCTTACCACTACCTCAAGCTGAATGGGCTGATCCTGCTGTCTCTCCTCAGCATGGCTGGAGAATCAATGCCTCCTATTTTCAGTGTTGCTGAAGAACAAATGTGATGCTGACCCTGTTCCTATCTTAAATACGTCTGGTATTAAATATGTGAACTGTAATTCTATTTTAGAATAATTCGCTCTAATGTATTCATGGGTGGCCTTGGATTCACAGAGTTCCATCTATCGCTTAATCCTGAGTCCTAGGATTCAAGGTGTGTACCAACACCTCCTAACTCCTGGCTGCTGGGATTAAAGGTGTGTGACTGGATTCTATGACTTACGACTGACTTCGCTTTCTGAATCTTCAGGCAAGCTTTAATAAATCATAAATAATATATCACTATACAGTGATGGTGCACAGCTTTAAACCCAGTTGTGCACTTGGGATACAGAGGCAGGTGGATCTCTATGAGTTCCAGGCTATCCTGGTCCAAAGAGTGAGTTCTAGGACAGGCTTCAAAGCTATCCAAGAAACCCTGTCTTTTTTTTTTTTTTTTTTTTTTTTTTTGCGACAAGGTTTCTCTGGGTAGCTTTGGGGCCTTTCCTGGCAATCACTCTGGAGACCAGGTTGGCCTCGAACTCACAAAGATCAGCCTGCCTCTGCCTCCCAAGTGCTGGGATTAAAGGCGTGCGCCACCAACACTCGCTGAAACCCTGTCTTTTTTTTTTTTTTAAAGATTTTATTTATTATGTATACAGTCTTCTGCCTGCATGCAGGCAGTGGGCAGCAGATCTCATTCGAGACAGTTGTGAACCACCATGTGGTTGCTGGGAATTGAACTCAGGACCTCTGGAAGAATGGTCAGTGCTCTTACCTGCTGAGCCATCTCTCCAGCCCGAAACCCTGTCTTGATAAACCAAATAATAAATAAATTTTATTTGATGTCGAGTTAGATTTGCTTGCCTCTTTCCTTTGTCTCTTGGTAACCACTTCTCATATGTCAGTTGCATTCATTGCTTTTCTTAGTGCTGTGACTACCTAAAGAAAAGGCTACTTAGAGAAGGTAAGGCTTATGTTGGCTCACAGTTGAGAGGAACTCAGTCTACCACAGTGAGTAAGCAGACCCCCTTGATCTGTAGTAGCACTGATGAAAGGGGAATGTGTTCAGATAGCTTTTTCCCTCTTTTCCTTTTTATTCACTCTGGGCGCCCCCCCCCACACACACACGTACACGTGTGTGGTCAGTTTTCCCTTCTCATTTAAGCCATTTTGGAAATACCTTCATAGATATGTCTATGATGTCTTCTATTAGTGCCCTAGTTACAAAATGAATGACCTTCTAGTCTGCATTTTCCTTGAGTGCACACCTCTACTTTGTAATGAACTTCATCTGAATCCCTTTAAAAAACAGCACCAGCAAACATGCTATTGCTACTATGGCCAGACAAATTATTATATTCAATATTTTAAATGGTTAGTAAGCCACTTTTGGTGGTGCTTATCTGTAATTTCAGCATATATGAGGCCGAAGCTGGAAGATTTCAAAATGAGTTTGAGGCTAGCCCCTGTTATACCCTGACTCAAAAACAAGCAAAAGAGAGAGAGAGGGAGAGAGAGAGAGAGAGAGAGAGAGAGAGAGAGAGAGAGATCTCTAAATGACAAAAACAGTAACTGTCAAATTGGATTTTGTAGGGAATCATACAATCAACAAAAACATAAGGCGATCAAGTGAAATTCCTTTGGGGGGTCCTCTGCAAAAGAAAATTTTATTTTGATATAACTCTTACTAAAGCAAAAAAAGGAGAAGGTGGGGTGTGGTGAGGGTGGAACGATAAATCTTTCCACGAGCTGCCGGAGCCCTGCCGCCACGTGGGCGCCCAAAATAACACACAGATTAATATTAGGTACAATGCTGCTGGCCAATGACTAGGATTTCTTACTTGCTAGCTCAGTCTTAATTATCAACCATAACTACTAATCTATATATTTTATAAGGACTTACCTTATTGAGGATGCCAGCCGTATGTGTCCTGTTCCGGGGATCACATGGCGACTCCACACAGAAGAGAGAAGGAGGAAGAGAGTGATTTCCTGCTTGTCCCTGCTTATATTTTGAATCTGCCTGCTATGTCGCTTCCTGTCTAGATCACAAGACTTCTCTCCACTACATTTCTCAGAATTCCCCTCGACTCCCAGTCCTGCCTAACTTGCTTCCCTATGGCCAACAGTACTTTATCAACCAATAAGACAAACATATACACAGAAGGACTTCCCCCATCAGGGGGGCAGGGTGGCGAAGAGGACTGAATGAGAGTTGTTTTCCAAAACACAGGAAACCAGGCAAGATGTACAATGAGCCAGGCAGTGGTGGTGCATGCCTTTAATCCCAGCACTCGGGAGGCAGAGGCAGCCAGATCTCTGTGACTTCAAGGCCAGCCTGGTCTACAAGAGTGCATTCCAAGACACAGGCTCCAAAGCTACAGAGAAACCCTGTCCCAAAAAAACCCAAAGAAAAAAAAGAAAAAAAAAAAAAAGAAAGAAATGTACAATGAATACCATGACTGACAGTTGATGTGTGTGTGTTTGGGGGCGGGGGGCACAGCATCTGTGGAGGTGAGATAGCCTGAGTCAGTGGGTTTTCTCCTTCAATTGTGTGGGTCTATGGGATGGAACTCAGGTCACCAGGCTTGGCAGCAAGCATCTTTATCCAGTGAGCCATCTCTCAGGCCCAGGTTTCGACGAGTGTGGAGTGACTGAGAGATTGCTGCTTCAGAAGACATAGGGAGTTCTGGCTGAAGAGCCTCCCAGAAGTCACGACTGAAGGACAGTTACTTGAGACAGGGTTTCTGTAGCCCTGTGTAGAGTTCACTGTGTAGCCCAGGCTGGCTTTGAACTCTTGACTGTCCTGTCTTACCCTTCTAAGTGTTGGGATTACAGATGTGAGCTCCACATCTGGCTAAAACCAAGCCATCCCTTGCCTCACAAATATTTAAATGTCTTAGTTTTGGAGAAGCAAGCATTTTCCATCTTGCATTTTTGCCATTTCCTTGGCCTGGCCAGGTAGTCTCACTTTTGTCTCATTAGTTACTTCCTTTTGGCGTTAGAGATGTGACACCGTGCTAGCAGGAGGTCATGTGTTCATCCCCATATTTCCTCTTGAAAGCTGTTATCCTCTCAAGACCTCTATGGTCCTTAATCTGGACTCCAGTTCTGAGTCCCGAGCTCTCATCTTGTCTATTTCATGCTTTAAATCCTGTTCTGCATAGTTTTGCTAGCCAGTCGATCAGTCTTCTAGTTTTGATGGTGTTGTTTAGTCTCCATAGGTTATCCGTTAGCACAGTGTGGCACTCAAGATAAGTTTATGTAGCCAAGATGAACCCACATTAGGTCACGTTTGGTCAAAAGTGGGGCTCAGAATCCCCAAACTATAACTCAGCTGCACAGACCAGGTTTGTGCTTCAGGAACACCCGTCGTTTGGTTTTGATGGAGTTTGAGGTGAATCTGAAGTAGGTCGAGTCATCTTGTCTTATTGCTAGGAAATAAATACTCCAAGTAGTTTTGGTGGGAACGGAAGCATGGGTAGCAACCTGGGCAACTTAGGCTGGAACAGTGCTGGATCCAGTTCTCCCTGACACTTGATTGAAGGAGGTTCTTTGTGATGCTTAGAGATAGAACCCAGAGCCTCAGCTATGCTAGGCAAGTGTTCTACCACTGAGCTACATCCCCACCTTTACAGGACATCTCAATAAGCTGCCCAGTCAGGCCTTGAACTTCTGATCCTCCTGCCTCTGTTTCAGTAGTAGCCAAGCACCAGGGATGACAGACCCCTATTATCAAACCAGGCTACTATGCGATTTGGGTTTCCAGGTACCTATCACCTAGGCATGTGTCACACCGGTGCCCAGCGACCTGGCAAACGTCACTGAACCCCTCTGCCTGAACCCTGCAGGAACTGCTCGACCCGACCAGACACTGGAAGGAAGTTCCGTGGGTGCTGGAGAGAGGCTCAGAGGGAAACCCCGAGGGAAGGAGGAGCTGGGAATCCAGCCAACCCGGCGGGTTTGAGCAAGAGCTGGCCAGCCCGGCGGGGTCCCGCGTCTCCCGCGGCACCCACCCGACACTGTCCCAAGCAAAAACGAAAGGAAGCCAAGCGGTCCGGCGTGGCCCGGCGTGGCCCGGCGTGGGCGGGGAGGTGACCGCGCGCTCCGACTCCTCGGGACCGGGCGGCCGCTTTGTGACTTCACCGGTTTCG